TCTCTTCGCCGCTCTTGTCAGTCGCTGGGAATCTGGCCAATCATCTGGACTCGTCCTAAAGGCGACGATATTTAGGGTCTTGCCGTGATTGACTGGAAACGTCAAAACATGCCCATTGGGACCCATCTGTGGTGTCCAGGATGTCAGCACGGACCTGAGACGGACCGATCGAATGACCTCAAGAGGTGCAAATAGTAGACTCACATGCATGCAAGCATTCATGGCCAGCTCTTCACCAACAGCGTCGATAGCATCTTCCATCCTTGCTAGCCCTCGATAAGCATACTTGTGAGTATAGCTCGGTTGCGCACTGGGATGGTCGTTTCCGACTATGATTTGCCTAACCCTAGACTTGATACCATCACACCCGATCACAGCATCTGCTTCGGCGGTTGATCCATCTTCAAACTTCATGACCAGTCTTCCATTCACATTTTCAGAGATATCGGCGAGCTTCTTCCCAAACCGGGCAATATCCCTTGGGATTAGCTTGACAATCTCATCCAGATAATGCGCGCGATGGACTCCATTCTGGCCCAAAGAGTTTTCAATCGTGAACGCAATGTCCTGCCTCTCTTGTCTTGGATTTGGCCCCGCATAACCGTCGAGATAGTCGAACCAGACATACCTTTTCTCTGGCCAAGCATTGCGGGTGCAGACTTTTTCAAACGCCTTGTACACGCCCTCGTGGCAGACTTTCATAGCTTGTACCGCATTGGGGGAAAAGGAAACACCTGCGCCGATCTCGCCGAACTGAGGCGCTTGTTCGTATATTATGACGGGGATGTGGCGGTGATGAAGCGCTATGGCGAGGGTCACACCTGCGATACCACCTCCAATTATGGCGATCTCAAACTGTCTGCGTTCGAACATTTTCCTGGCTATGCCTTGCGGTGTTTTTAAATTGATCGGTGATTATCGAAAGGCGTTGAGCAAGGGGCATAATTCTTTGTGCATTTATATATGTTGAGAACGCTCTCAACGGAAATCTCAACCCTCAATATTATAGGGATCTGCCCTCTGTGCTCGGTACAGTGACACGGGCTGGAGGGCCGAAATGCTTCCGCAAGACTGAGATATGTACTCGATTCCTATTGCCCTAGATGGAAGATACAGGCGTCGCTGCGTACGACAATCCCACAACAACGAACCCCGCAAGTGTCGATCGTCGTTTGCAGCTTCACACATAATTACATCCACGGACTCCGCATTCGCCCGGCCACAATCTGGAGGAACGTTTCCGGTCCCCATTTCCGAAGGCTCCATCAGAAATCTCTCGGCGGCGCTAGCTGTTATGGCCTTCAGGACGACTCCGAAGTAACAGGCTTGGATGTTCGGAATCTTTTCCTTCCGCGCTGTCGCCTTTCTTACGATTGGAGTGTTGGATTGTACGAAGTCATCTCTCGATCTTGACCTTCCACTCATTCCTGCGACGCCGATGGCCAATATCGTACAACTGAAGGGACGCCGAATATATCTCACGCGCGTGATTCAGGCAGGTGCCGCTAGCTTTCGCCTTCAAGCGACTAGATCAAAGGAAAGACTTTCAATCGAAGCAATGGCCTAGTTTGAGATTCACGGTTATCCGCATATCAACGAGTTGATTACGGATTCAATAGGTCTTTCCTCCACGTTGCGACAATCTTGACATGGTCGTCCTTGTTCCTCACCAGCTCTTCCAAACCCTTCTCTGCCAAATCCTCGACAGGGAGCCTCCTCGTAATCAGAGCCTCAGCTCCAGCGAATTTGCCTGCCACAAAATCCTCCACCACCTCCCGATAGTCATCATCATTGTTTCCCATGGAGAACTTGATGGTTAGCTCCCGGTAGAAAGCAAACTGCATCGGCACCTTGAACGGCTGCTTCCATCCAGCGATGTTGAGGTAGGTTCCCTTCAGTCTCAAGCTTTCCATGCCCGCTAGCATGCCCTCTTCTGCACCGGCACAGTCAAACACAATGTCAACCCCTCTCCCTCCGGTCCTCGCTCTACAGACCTCTGCCACATTGGACGCCATTGGATCCAAAAGATCCGCTGGTCCAGCCAGTCCGAGCCTTCGAATCATCTCACTCCTCTTGGCCGTTGGCTCTGAGACCAACACCCTCCCACTTAGACCGGCGCCCACCCCTTTCGCCCGCAAATTTAGGAGGACCGCCAATCCTACGGGCCCACCCCCAAGCACAAGCACGTTCAACCCTGCGAAGTCCGTAATCCCGCTCGCAGAAAGAGCATGGCGCCCTACCGTTAAGGGTTGACAAAGGACAACGCTATTCAGATCAACACTCCCATCATCAGGAAGAACATGACACATCCTCATCTCAACGTTGACTTTCTCACTGAAGCCCGCGCCACCGCCGCCGCCACCGTTGAGGCCAATATATCCCCAATTTGCGCACATATTATCACACCCACTTGTGCACGCTGTACATTTCCGACAGACAATCCGTGGATCGACCATTATCGGCGTCCCAAGTTTGAGCGGGCCGTCGGCAGGATACCCTGAAGCTAGCGCAGAGATACGACCACAGAATTCATGACCAAAGGTGACAGGAAGATGTTCTTTGGTTATGCTGTGGGGTTGGTCGGGTGTGTTTATTGTGAAAGGTCCAGATGTATATTCATGGAGATCAGTACCACAGATGCCGCCCCAATAGACATCGATCGTCACCTAGGTCGATCAGCGGTGTTAACAGGTAGGTGAAAGAAGCGATCATAAAAGATCTGCCTGAGTTGACTTACTTGGTTCGGCCCCGGTGGCGGCGGATCGGGAATTGTCTCAATCCTGATGTCGCGCTTGCCATAGTAACGAGCCGCTTTCATCTTTCCTACCCTGGTGGGTCGTGTTGATGCAACACGAAGATCTGTGTTGCTGGTTGTCGCTATGGCGGACATGTATAACAAAGATCCACGGTCAACCATAGCCTCGGACAGGGTTTTTCCGCTCGGCATCTTGTGAGAACTTTCTGGCCTGACTCGGCTATCCATATTGAGGATTTGTGTACAAGAGGCAAGTCCATGACCCAGCCATTATTCCCTACGGTTTGACAGATGTGCGGGGTTGGCGCATGGCAATTGGAGCAAGACTCAAGGAACAGCTTCTGCTCTGGCCGTCGAACTGAACTGTCTGGAGCAGATGCTGGAACATTTATTGATCCTTCACCGCGGATGAGAATTGGCAGGGTCAGTCGAAAAGCGGACGACGCCATTACAAATTTCTTCTTTGTTCTCATGCCGAAGTACATCTTTGTATCTGTTCGTCCTCATCGGAGATCGCGAAAGGAAAATGCGCACGTGCTAAACAAACAAGCACACTGGTCAATGTCTGACATTTTGCAATCTAGACTGCGGTGAGGAGAACTCTTTGTATTTAAATCCCTTATCCGCATGCTGTTCTGATGGTAATAACCTAAAGGAGTAGGCATGAGGGTAGAGTAACGCCAGCTGAATATCTGCTATGCCTCGAGGTTTGCGGGATTCGTCTCCAAAGTTTGCAGCACGTCTTGAATTTCACTTACCTGGCTCGATCCGCCAGTTCCGGCGTCTGACGAGTGGCTATCAGACGGGCGGATTCTCGGCAGTCGGTATCCGAATAACGATCGTACGACCTTTACTTGACACAAGCACAAATGAGAGCACTGGAATTCGCCAATGCACAATGCGATTGAACGCAATATGCTCCAATGGACCTACCTCACGCCACTTTGTAAACAATGATCGACGTTGGCTGATTGCCTCGGAGTCCCTATCGATATTTCACAAAGTATAATGATCCGCTATAAAGAGCCCGGAGGCGGCTGGAGGTCTTTGTGGGCGGTGGCCATATCCCTCGAGCAAAAGCAAAAATGAAGATCCTGGCACAAGAGGAAGAGCAGGATTACTACGCCCACGTCCGCAATTCTGGGGTAGCTGCTGGCGTTGGTGGTTTCCTGCTCGGCATCGCAGCTACAGCGGCCTTACGTCGATATTACGCACCCTTTAGGCACCTCTCCCCAGCTGTGCGATCTACCATTGTTATATACCCCACTATTTTTGCCATCAGTTACGGGACAAACCACGGGAGCCACGCGTTCGAGTCTCGGGTACACCCAGAAACCAAACAGTATTTCAAGGAAAGACAAGATCTATTTGAAAGGAGCCATATCGGCGAGAGTAGGAAAGAGTTGTCACGGGAATGGCTATATGAACACAAAATTCCCGTTTTGGGAACCACTTGGGCGCTGTCGATGCTAGGCAGTCTGCGGCTATTTGGCCGGGATCCTTTGGAGACAGGCGTGAGAAAACTTGTTCAGGCTCGCGTCCTGGCCCAAGCGACGACATTGTCCGCGCTGCTTCTATTGGCGCTGATCGAAGCCGACGACATGAAACAGGGAAATGGGAAGTACCAGAAGGTGATAGTGGTGGATACCAGCGATCCAGCACACCGCCAGCGTTTGGATGAGCAGTTGGGTCTTGAACTACACCCGACACCAGTGACGTTGAAAGGCAGGTAACCAGCCTTTTTATAGTCAAACCACAAGACTAACCTATTCCTTGTGCAGAAATTGTCGAAGGAGCCGAAGTGGCGGAGAAGGAGAAGCATAAATCGTGAAGATGAGAACCTCCAAGGCGTCTGAGGTTAATTGGTACCACGCGATTGCCGCATAGTGACTGTGCAACAAGGGGAATGATGCAGCTTTAATAGGTTTTATATAGGCTTTACACTCTCTGGACCAGGTTAACCAGTAGGTAATAGTGCCTGATATATATCCGAGGATGTGAGGATGATAACCACGCGAAAAATTTCAACCGGCAAATTTCATTGATAGGAGCAGATTCTGCTGGATGAAAACACGCTCCGGAATTTGTATATACAAGTTACTGCCGCAAAGATCGAAGATGGAAACTAGAAGTATTTTTGTTCCTGCCTCGGTCCGCACAAAGCAAAAATTTCGACTCAGCTCATTTTCTCACTTCTGTAGCAGAAAGAGGCCAAAAAATAGCACACCCTTGAGGGCTGCTTCACTCTCCTGACCCAGAATCGAACTAGGGACCTTTCGGTAACAATTGCACATTACAGCCGAACGTGATGAACCAACTACACCATCAGGAGTTCAAGTCATGACTTGATGACCCTTTTTGCGGGACTTCACAATATGAATTACAAATGGACGGCTATTTCGGGAAGCCCGGATTGGCTCCGCGAGGACCCCCTGTCGCCGAGCGATCCACCTTTGAAATGCCTACCGAGTAGGTATGTAGTAGGAAAGATTCCTTCTGAGGAGCCAGGGCGGTGGTGCAAACGCACTACAAGACTTATTTCTTACTGCGTTTATGGACAATCCAGCTCGCTCAGCGAAGACGCGCACGAGTGATGCATCGCGAGCCTTATGGGCTCGCCGCTCGAGGTCCGTCGTCATCCTTGCTCTTCCGCTGTTAGCAAGCGCCAATATCAAATCTGACGGCTACTGGCAGATGACCATGGGCTTCTATTGAACAGGCTACCCCTCGATCTCCTCCATGCAGAGCTGCAGAGACGACAAGATGCGCCCGCGAAACCGGCATGCGGAACAGTGGGAAGACGGGGTACCTACAACACCGCTATCCACGTCTTTGCCCTGTTCCTCATCCTAGCACTGAGCACACTCGGTACGACAAGATAGCAGCTCCCTCGAACATGACCATCGATGTTGACATACGCACAGCATGCTCCTTTCCTATCATCGCTCGCCGCTTTCCCAAACTCCCTATCCCGCACCGCTTTCTCTTCCTCTCCAGGCATTTCGGTACTGGTGTCCTCATCGCAACGGCATTCATCCATCTCCTCCCTACCGCCTTTATATCCATGACCGATCCGTGTCTGCCGGACTTCTGGACACAGACATACCCGCAAATGCCCGGGCTGATTGCCATGTTGTCGGTTTTCATGGTAGTGGGCATTGAAATGTTCTTTGCAAGCAAAGGGGCTGGACACAGTCACGCGGCTGAGTGGGAAAGGATTCCCCACGAACAGTCCACAGAAGAAGGAGGATCGTCTACTTATGGCAATGGACATATTCCATTAGATCGCCTGCAAGCGCCAACAACGCCGTATACAGATGCATCACCGAAACCTTGCGACTCGGCGTCCAGCGACTCGGATTTGGACCTGGACGACCTCGATCCCGCCACCGACGAATCCGCAACATTGAGTAACCCACACAGGCGCAAAATCTCCCAGCATGAAAACAACTTTCATGGTCACTCTTCCAAAGATGACGAGAACCCCCAACGTCTCTTTCTCCAGTGCCTGCTCCTTGAAGCCGGCATCCTCTTCCACAGCATCTTCATCGGCATGGCCGTCTCCGTCGCGCAAGGCACACAATTCGCTGTCCTGCTTATCGCCATTTGCTTCCATCAGACCTTTGAAGGATTTGCCCTCGGCTCGCGCATTGCAGCACTCATACCTCTGCTGTTCGACGCTTCTTCGCCCAAACCCTGGCTGATGGCTCTCGCGTATGGCGCGACAACACCCATTGGCCAGGCAATGGGAATCGTCTTGCACTCTTTGTATGACCCTGCGAGCAAGGTGGGACTGTTGATGGTCGGTATCACGAATGCAATCTCCAGCGGTCTTTTGCTTTTTGCTGGGCTGGTGCAATTGATCGCAGAGGACTTCCTTAGTGAAAAGAGCTATGATGTTTTGAAGGGCAAACGAAGGATCGAAGCATGTCTCGCGGTGGGCTTGGGAGGGCTGTTGATGGCGATAGTGGGAGCATTTGCCTGATCACCGTGGTGATCGATATAGTTGAGCGACGGCAAATAAACTTGCATATACTTGATAGATGAATTTCCATCTTGGAAAATCAGTATTTCCCTTCCTAACTGAACGACCGGGCGTGGCTGCTGCTGTCCTAATCTAGAAACAGAGGCCCCGTACGAGGTACAGAGCGAGATAGGTAGGTTCGACAAGGCGAGAAGAGCACGGTTCGAGGCTGGCGAGGCTTCCCTGGCTTCCCCAACATACTGGGAGCCCCGGAACGTGCGTCATCCTGCAGCCACGACTCGCGACCCAGACAACGCTCGGCTCACCTGATGAGGAACCCAAAACATTCCTCTCACCTGATAGCTATTGCAGCAATATCGTTTGATCATCGCCTTCAGACTCTCTCATTCGGAGTACCTTTCTCCCTCAAGAGCAGAGTTGAGACTCCGTACTCGGTACCTGCTGTACAGTCGGCGATCTTTGTGTCTCTGCAACTTTCCAGAAATCACATCCTCATAAGCTGCAGCGATGGCCTACGTTCCAGGTCTCACGCTCCCTGCGTCCGTCTTCTCCAATGCCCCCATCTCGATCCTTCTCCCCGTCGGACTGGGCTTGGGATCCGGTCTCGTCTCTCAGCCCGGAAAACTAATTCCTAAGAGGTTCTCAGACCAGGCGGCGACAGAGCGAGGAAAGTTCAGGAGCGCGCAAGACCAGTACAAGGCTCTGAAGCATCCTCCATTCAGACCACCACCTTGGGTCTTCGCTCCAGCTTGGTCCACCCTTTACTTGATTATGGGCTACGCCGCTCATCGTGTCTGGACGATCGGTATGGCAAGCCCGAATCCTCAGACAGTGGAAAATGCAAGAAGAGGGGGAACATTGTACACGATACAGCTAGGCTTGAATCTCATCTGGATGCCCCTATTCTTCGGCCTAGGCAGACCGATTGAAGCCATGCTCGACGTGGTCACCCTGACCGGCACTGTGGGTTACATGACCTATGTATGGCACAAGGTCGACGATACAGCCGCGTATTTGATGGCGCCATATCTTGCCTGGCTGGGATTCGCAACATATTTGACCGCCGGGACCGGTCATCTCAACGGATGGACGATCAAGCAAGAAGCTGAAAATCAACAAGAGACTGAAAAGAAGGAGTCATAATGGGAATCGTGTTTTCACATCGCGAGAAGATTTTGGTCGACATCTCTGGACTCTTTCATGACACGGCATCTATGTGAAAGTGGTCTCTTTTTGAGACAAGTAAATAGGCCTGGTATCGTACTCTTCGTTGGCAGGACACACCGTCAACGTATCCGCAATTCAATGAACCCACAATATTTATGAAATGATGCTAGAGAAGCATTGACTTTTGCTCACTGCATGCATGATCCAGTGACCTCGGCGTAGGATCCAACATCCAGAACATTGGCTTTGAAATTAGCCATTTGTTTCTTTGGCCCGCTAACACTTCAGGCACTAGGCAACGCGCCTGACTCAACCGTGGCGTTATAGCGAGCCTCTCGCATTAGAGTGACTGATCTTCAGTTTTGCATATACTGAACACGTTGTCTGACGCTCTCGACCTTCATAAATGCATTCCTCATTGGCCTCTTTACTCATGCCCTTCCACCTAGCTTTTTGTGTCCTTCACGGTGGTTGACCAATGGCAAGATGGCAGTCCCCGCTTGACACCCATCTTCACGCTATCCGCACATTCTTGCCGGATGTGTTGGGAAATATATCTATGCTGCTGAAAGGGGAATTCATATGTGCCTCTGCTAGAGGGTGAATCTGCGCTTAAATATACGAATTCGTTAGTCGCGTTATGCACATGCTGGTCAAATCTACAAATGGCAAACACGATCGCGTTCACCAACCTGGGTATCGACAATCGAGGGAGGCATTGCGGCTGTGAGGAAAGATAGGTTGTACCAGTGATTGATATTGCCTTGGACAGTATCTAATGCTCAAATGTAGACATCAATTGGGTTTGTTTCTGTATTTCACAGCTAATCATTTTATGCAGCGTAATATCTTTCTCCCTTAGTGGGTACGAACTTGGAGACATGCGTTCTGGTTACGGCAATGGAATTTCGTTTAAAGATAAGTATCGCTCACGACATCACCCCGACTTCTACGGGACGCAGATATAGCCTCCATATGGGTCTAGCCCAAAAGGACGGGGACCCTAGACAGTTCCCCATATATTATACTCCGTATTCCATACACGGGACGTGGAAGGAGGAGTGCGACGGCGACGTTGGAATGTGCAGCTGGTGGACTGGGTGCGGGTTTGCCGCTCGTGGGGCCATTTGGGCCATGCATGATAATGCAGATGTCATCCGCTTGTGATTGGTGAAGCAATGGTCTCTGTGCGACCGTCCCGTGTTTGTGCCTGGCAGGGCATCTGAAACTGCAATGCTATAAAACCCCAGCAATGGCCATTTCAGGGTCCGGATCCTCAAAATCCCGAAGGATCCAGAAGGACACGAGGAGTAACTGCGAAGTGCCAAACCGCGAAAATGTCTGTCACACAGGGGACTTGTAGGTAACTAGGAGGTTATACTGGGTAATGTCAACGTACCTCTCTGATAAGTAAACAGGGTACACCAGCGAGCATATTCGATTGCAAAGGCTTGCCTGCTCGATCATTAACTTCCACGAAACGCCGGACGCTGTCCTAGACCAGTCCGAGCTCGATCTACTCAAACGCTTCGCGGACAGCCGTCCATTGAGAATCGAGACAAGATCCTCAAAGAGAAAGGTTGAGTTGATGAGTCTGGTCAGCGAAGGGGAAGTAAGGCAGCAAGCAGCGGAAGCCTGGCTGGCCATTTGGTCTCCCGGTATGGGAGCGACGAGCCAGCCTCGGATGACCGAGACTGGGAGCTTCTTACAGAATGGTTCGTAAAAGGGATGCCCACAGGTAAGAATGTCCAGCGCTGAGCTCAATGGCCAAGCGAGACTGGTACTTCAGGGTTTAATATAAATATGGATGTAGACGAATGAATTTAATGAATGTTGCCAGCCATTTTGCCATGTCTCCAGAAACTAAGGCGGAAATGCCAAGCCATATCACGTGCGACAGGATTGTGCCTCTTTCGCCTCCTCCCACCCAGCAACCAATCGCGCTCTTTCTCAGCCAACTGCGTCTCCGCCTCAGCTCGCCTTTGGGAAGTTGGGGAGGGTCAAGAGGGCTTCACGCCGCGGTTCGTCGTTCATCCAAATCCTCCTCATCGTCCATCAACAGCACTTGGTGCTGCATTGCGATACCAGCGTGCAACCAACTCTTTGCTTCAAATCTTGTAAGCTCACTACCTCTGTTCTTCCTGCCGTCGCGCTATCATCTCTGTGCCGCTACAATTTGCGGCCCTTGACCTTGACCTCTCCAGTCGCCGAACTGTCTCGACGCTGGGTCAGAGTCCACCTTCTACCATTCCACTTATATACTGTTACCATTGCTGGCCTGCATCTTTTCTCAGATAGGCGCACTCGATGCCTGCGAGCTTTCTTCCTTCTTTGACCCGCACCTCTACTCATTTCTCAATGTCGTCCTCCAATTCATTGTCCCCTCACTCATTTCTAACCTCTGCCATGTTTACTCTTAGCTACCCTACCTTGAAAGCTCGGCGACTCGGAGACCACATCACCTGAATCGGCTATTTTATGGTCAGCACTGCGCTCTACTTCTCCAAATGACATAGCGCATTGGTGGGCTTCACCTAAGCCATTTCGTATCTGAACGCAGAAGGATTATTTACCGCAAGACTCGAAGCTTCGAAACAAGATGAATCCATACGAGGCCTATGGCTCTCCAACAAATGATAGATCCCCCCCGAGATACCGGGGACGGGATGAGTCTTATGAACGGGGCGACTCATACCGACGAAGATCTCCTGGTAAGCAAAGTACATGTTCCCATCCAATGCATAGCTCACAATTAGTCCAGGAGGCAACGATCGACGTCGGCCTGACCCACGCAACCGTTCACGTTCCCCGGTAGCCATTGATCGTTACCAACCAGACCGAGACAGGGACCGAGTCTCGCGCGATAATTTGAGGGAGGGCGCTAGACCTGGTGCAAGAGATACGAGAGATGCAAGAGACGCAAGAGAACGGGATGATCGCAGAAGAGCACCTTCGCCCACCGCTGCAAATATTGATCGATATGTTCCAGGTCAAGAATCCAGCAAACCTGTTGTCAAGGTCAATCCTCTCGCCAACCCCCTAGCTCTGGATACGCAAGCTGGTTTCAGCTTCTTCGCAGATTGGTGGCGGTTCGAACAACAAGTTAAAGAAGAGAAAGAACGAGCTAAGCATGGTGGCAGACGTCCTTCGGATCGTGTCAAGGGTGAACGCGAAGCCAAAGAAGACCGCGAGAAGGAGCGGGCACAAATTCAGCAGGCCTATGACCTGTACAAACAAGAGTTTCAGGTGAAGATGGCGAGACAATTTGTTCAGCAGCACAAGGGTGAAGAATGGTTCAAAGAGCGATACGTTCCAGAAGTACGAGACCCGATTCGGAAGCGTCTGATGGAGTCCCGGGAATCAAGTTTCGACCAATGGGTCAAAGACTTGGAAACGGGAGTCTTCGATGATTTTACTCTTGAAGGAATCTACAAGAATGATAGCGATGGTGCTGGTGGGATGGTGGAGAAAGAAGAAGGCGAAGCTGTTGGTGGTGGTGAAGTCTTAGGCGTGCTGGACCTTGTCCCTGCCAAAGGGGGTGATCTGAAAGATGAATCAGTTCAACAGCCCGCTCTGCTCATCAAGACGCTTGCACCTAATGTCGGCCGTGACCGCATAGAGGAGTTCTGCAAAGAACATCTGGGGGAGGAGGCGGGGGGATTCAAGGGCTTATCATTGAGCGATCCCAATCCGGCAAAGAAATTCCATCGCATCGGCTGGATCATGTTGAATCCTGCTCTGGAAGAAGACGGCGATGTTATGCAGGACATTGAGCGGGGTGATGGCCGGGAAGAAGATGGTGAAGAGGGCAAAGAGAAGCCTCATCCGGAGAAAATCACCCCGGCTCAAAAAGCTCTGGATCTCATCAACGGCAAGACCATTGCTGATCCGGTGAGAGGCGACTTTACCTGTCATGTTGGCATCCACAACGCACCAAGTGCGCCACGGAAAAAGGCCCTCTGGGATCTGTTCTCTGCGCCAGAACGGATCGAGCGAGATCACGAACTTGCGAGGCGACTTGTCGCTAAGCTCGACGCTGAACTGGGCAAGGATGAGCATTCTGGGTCTTTGACGAAGATTGATGCTCGAGCGGAGCAAATGAGAAATCAGGGTCTTTTACAGCCTCCGCCGAAACCCAAAAAGCCAAACTTCGAAGACAACGATGACGAGATTAAATTCGAAGAGGAAGGTGAAGAAGGCGAAGAAGACGAAGATGAACAGGATGACGAAGAGTTGCTGGTCATCAAAAAGAAGCTTGATCTGATGGTTGAGTATCTCCGCCGAGTGTTTAGCTTCTGCCTGTTTTGCGTCTTCGAATCCGATTCCGTTCACGAATTAGTCCGAAAGTGCCCCGGTGGCCATCTTCGAAGACCGCGGGCTGGTTTGAGCTCGGCAGCCAAGGCTGCCGCCAGAGCGAGCGCGCTGGGCGAGCCATTCCCGGGCAAGAAGAAAGACGGCCGAAGTGAGAATGGCATGGATGATGAGCCGCTTAGCCCCGTTCAAGAGAGGCGCCCTCAGAAGTTCAACAAAAACGATCAGCAGCTCCTTCGAGCGTTCAACTGGGTTAAGACTTTTGAGGAGAAGGTTCTGCAAATTCTAGAACCCGAGTATGTGGATTTGAAGAAGATTGGAGGCAAGCCTGTCGAGGAGGCTTTAGATGAAGAGCTGGCGAAGTTTGTCAAGCAAGAAGACGAGGCCAAGTTCCGGTGTCGGGTGCCCGAATGCACGAAGCTGTTCAAAGCCGAGCATTTCTGGCGGAAACACGTGGAGAAGCGACACGAAGAGTGGTATCTGGCGCTCAAGAAAGACGTAAGTTTTCAATTGTTCACCCCACGGTCCCCAAGCGCTAACAATCCAAGCTTCAACTTGTCAACACATACGTTCTAGACCCTTCGCATATCGCACCGTCGCGGTCGGATGCTAACTCCAACGGCCATTTCCCTCTCCCTCAAAACCACCATCTGAATAATGGCACTCCTCGTGGTTTCAGCCTCCAAAACATAGGAATGAACATGATGAATTTCGGACAGAATGCGATGATGAATATGCAAAATGTTCATGGTCCACTCGTGCCTGGGGCCAACTTCAACACGGAAGGTATGAATGGAAGCGGAGGACATGCCGGTGGCCCCATTCGACGTGGCGGAGGCAGATACGGCAATCGGCCCGGACCATATGATCGAAATCAACGAGGCAGTCAACGTGGGTACAACAATATGGGAGGCATGTTGCGAGGCAACCTTGTCCCTGGTCTCACTCCGGGATTCATTGCCCAGGGTGGAGGTGGAGGCGGTGGCAAATGGGGAGACGGTGCAGGTGGTGGTATGAACGCTATGGGACCAAGAGAGGCGACTCAAGGCAGAAGTATCAAGAGCTACGAAGATCTCGATGCTCAGCCCAACAGTAGCGGAGGCCAGGTTGGCGCAGCTGCGTCGGCGCAGGCTGGTGGCGGTGCAGAGCTGGACTACTAGGGTTGATCTGGCTGCGTACCATTTTTTTTTAAAAAAAAAAAAAAAAAAAAAAAGAAAGGGCACGTCTTCTTCGGGGGCTTTTGTACGAGTTAAGGAGAGATGGACATGTCGAAAGAGGTGCACATCATCACGTCATCACATCTAACAAACAGAAAGTTCTCAGCAATCAAGGGAATATTGGAATGGAGCTTCGGAGCCGGAATATTGATATGGGACGAAAATCGGCTTTTTTTACCCCTGTCTGAACACTGCGTTTTCCAAGTAGCAGACTCCAGAATGAGTTCAGCTCTATGTCGAAAAACAACGACTATGAGGAAAGATAAAACAAACCTTTCAACCAAAGAGACTGCGCAGAGTGGACGCGCGCAAACTGGAAAGTTGGCGTCCGTTCGGGGAATCGAATGTAGTCTTAAACTTCTGAGACTGAGAAGCTGAAATATACAAGCAAACAAACAATGCAATCAATTGATTCTTCCCGTTCTTACATGAACGCGGTTAGCAGGGGCACTGGTACTCCGTCTTCTACCGTCCATTTGACACAGATAGTAATTCACATGGAGTGCAGAGGACGCAGTACCCGACATGAAGGGGTAGTCATTGCAAAGGGCATCCCATTCCGTCCACACCCGCACATCACAATCCAATTCCGCCGCCAAACTTGGCACCCATCCTTAAATGCTTTTGCCATTTCTTGGTTTCATTCTCGTGTTACACTGAAAAGCCTGCAATATCATCAGCTCTTTCTCAGGTCCTCTTCCGCAGCACCCTTCTTCCCGCTGCCGGCTCCGCAACCACCACTCTTTTACTTGTCGCCGCAGTGCCAGGAGCAGTGGCGTTCCTCTTGAGCGCCGTCTTGGCAACACTAGCAGCCCTTGCCATGCCCCCTTTCTTTTTGTCTATAGCAACCGGTTCCTTTGACTGCGCGGTAGCTTTGACAGTGGCAGCTCTACCTCCTCGCTTCGGCTTCACGACAGTAGTGCCATTCGAGGCCGCAGAAAGATCGGTTGAGATGCTGTGAGTGCTTGCCTGGCTGAATGCACGTTGCGGAGAAGGTGGAGCACTCGGTTTCGGAGGCGGGAGCATTTGGGCTTTGGCAGTTGCAGCAGCTTCTTTCTTCTCCTTGGACGCCGTCCGGGTCAGTTTCGCGGCGGTGGCAGTCCCTCCTCTTTTCGCCTGTTCGATCATGCCGTGCACGCCGGCTGAAATGGCGGACGTTGCTGCTGTGGCGGCCGATTTCAGTGGGGACGCTGGACGGATTGGAGAAATGGCGGTTGTTGTTGGGCGAATGAGCATGTTCTTCGTAGGGGAAGGTGGGAGGTAGGGGTCTTTTATTGGCGAACGCGGCAGGGTGCGAGAGTTGTGGGAGCGCGGAGAGAGAACCGAGATTTGTTTCGCAGCCGCGCGAGAAGTCGGGCGTCCCGGCGCTGTTGCTTTGCCACGCCTGGTATTCTTGCTCACAGGGAGGCTATCTGGCGCGGCTTCCGACGGGTCGTGCTCGCTTACTTTATCCAAAGCAATCTGAATTTGAGGGCTCATGCGCTTCTTGCCTCCTCGGATGGCTGGAGGTTGTGGTTGCGATCGAAATGGAGAAGGTAGCTTAGCTGTACTACTTTCTTGCGGGAGAGGAGGTAGCGGCTTGGGTGCAACCACTTCAATTGATATTGTTTGTTTGGGTTTAGGCGGTGATGCTCGAGGGTGGTTCTGTTCGGCCTTTGAAGATTCATGTTGTTGCATCAGTTCTCCCATGGTCATCTTACGGATGGAGAGAGGAATGCGGTTGACGCGTCTCTCAATGCGAGCTCGCAGATCGGCACATTGAAGAGCATAGCCTGCTCGAAGCTGTCGCGCTCGCTCGGTTACTAGACACCAGTCAGGAACGATCACAGAAAAGACCGAAGTACCTCACTCTCGAGTTGCAGGTTGTCCATCAATGCTTGCTTCTGTTGCTCTGTGATTCTCATCTTCTTGCGCACCGGACTGCCGGAGGGGGTGACAGTACCAGCGGCCGGTTCGTCCATCTCATCGGATTTCCTTTTCCGAGAGCTTGCTGGAGCCATGGTAAGGATGTGAGAGCTATCTGCAATTCGACAGTGAGGATTATTCGTAGTTGAGGTGGTGAAGAAGAAGGGTCGATGGTGGAGAGAGGAAGATACAGTCCAAGCAAGTCGAGATGGAGGTGCAAGATGCGGGATCCGATTCGGGCGGCAAGATAAACAAAAGACGCCGCTAGTGGGCTTGGCGGGTCCAACTGTGGCAGTCCCAGCTTGGCGGAGACCTGCTCCTTTAAGTCTGACCACCAAGTTTTGCACCAACCCTGTTTTACACCACGCGTTCTACCACCCCACCACCTCTCTACCAACTCAATCAACCAACTACCACTCAACCAATTCGCCTTTAATCACGCGTAAATGGCCTCGAATCGAGAGGCTAGGATCCAGCAAGCAATCTCTGACTATCAATCACGTCGATATCCTAGCATTCGTGCAGCCGCGGCCGCGAACGATGTCCACCACTCCACGCTCGTCCGCCGACTACAGGGCACTCAATCGGCCGCGTTATCCCACGAACCACAGCAGATATTATCAAATATACAGGAGGAACTATTAAAGAGATGGATACTCGACCTTAAGGCACAAGGACATCCTCCTAGCTATTCCACTGTGCGAGATCTCGCTTGTGTAATTAGTAAGGTAAATGGCGGCCCTGAACGCGTTGAAATTAATTAGCTACCACGGTTTATTCAGCGACATCCTGATATCCGTTCAAAGGTAGGCAGGAAGATCTGTGTTAAGCGCGTTAATTGCACACTTCCTGAGCTTCTGGAACAATGGTTTCAGAATCTACAGACGATCAAAGAGCGATATTTAATTCAACCTCGATATACCTAGAATATAGATGAATCTAGATTAGCCCTAGGCGTTTACAGCAATCAAATCGTTGTGGGAACATCTACAACCACCAGTTCATTGTAAAAATCGCCCGAGACACGCGAATGAATAACGCTCGTTGAGACAATCTCGGCCCTTGGTCAACGTCTATAGACGCTAGTTATCTTCAAAGGTCAATCGCTTCAAACTACTTAGTTCGACGAGTCTAGTTTAGATTATCGATATACAACCTCTTCGAACGGCTGGACATTAAACGAAATCGAACTAAGCTGGCTAGATTAGATCTTTCTACCTCAAATAACTATAGAAGGGACTACTCGCGGCGAGTATCGACTTTTACTACTGGATGGCCATAAGAGTTATGTTACGCACGAGTTTATGTAGAAATGTCACTAAAATAACATCGTGGTGTACTACTTACTACCCCATTCGAGTTACATTCTTTAGCCACTTGATCTTACTTATTTTTCGCCAGTTAAGTCTCGTTATCGAGCGTAGATCGCTGATCTAGCTAGGTTCGACGATGTAAGCCTAGTAAAGAAAACGAGGTTTCTATAGATCTATTAGAAAGCTAGCTAGGAAGGTCTTAGTGTCGCCAATATTAAGTCTAGTTAGAACGTCAGTGGTATCTATTCATGGAATTCACGGAAGGCAATTCGATCGAATCTCGTTCTTACTAGCGCCGTAACTAATAAGATTACGCCATAAACACTATCTTCTCGCAAGCGCAAAGTCCTCGATAGTGATGTCTATCTATCGCCTAGTAATAGACGAAATTTCAGCGATTCAGTTCACAGAGCAACACATTAGGAAGGGATCTCAAGGCCACTGAGAACCTTCCTAGGAAAAACGGCTAAACGACTCGATCGTTTATAGTGGGAGAATATACAGAAGGATAAACAAATCGCTAGGCTTGAGTCTCAACTAGAGCGATCGAAGGCCAGGAAACAAAAAGGCAAGGCAATTAATGCCAACGAGACCTTTGCTAGCATCGAGACTATACAGCAGGCCAAAGAGGCATGGGCGACATTGAGAGCGACAACGACAACGACGCGGAGGACTAGGCAGTCTATAAACAACGGGAATGGCACGTCTAATGACCCAATCGAGGCGTTCACACACGTGTTCCACATCAACGATAGTGTTAGTTGAGTAATTGAGACTTGTTCTGTTACGGTCGCGATTCGATTAGGTGGTGTAAAACGGGGTTGGTGCAAAACTTGGTGGTCAGACTTAGATACCTCGTACTGCCTCTTCAGAATATTATAGAGGTCGTGATGATACTCGTAGAGAGCGCCAGCTATTTAAAGAGCATGGACGATCTGCACATCAATTCAATAAGCTCTACTTCCAATAGCTCACCACCACCAAATTATACGCCCTTGGACGTCACATGTTGAATCACAGGGCGCGGTGCGGGACATAAACTTCCCATTGCATCGCATTTCACGTGCAGATCGCCTCAGAAAGTCTCGACCGAAAAAGAAGACGTAAAGCTAACAAGCTCATATAGTCCGGATGAATTGTCCATTTGTTCTGATCTCTTCCGCCTCATAACGCCTTTTCTGCCCAACATGTCCGGCACTTCGTTGGGCCGGTCTGCCCTCTCACGTCGTGCCCAAGAGTGCGCCAATTCCCCCGAATCTCCGCAATGGCATGTCTACTCTGACCAGTGGCATCCTTCCTCTAATCCAGGCGGGTATGTCAATGTCGGCGTTGCGGAGAACAGCCTGATGCACGCTGAACTGGAAGCTTACATTCAAACCACTACCCATGTGCCGCAAACAGCATTCACCTACGGCGATGGGCCGCTGGGATCCAAGCGACTTCGAAAGGCAGTGGCTCGATTCCTCAACCGACGGCTGCATCCTGTTCTCCCGTTGGAGATGGACCATGTCATTGTCACGAACGGCGTCTCTCATGCGATCGAGCATACCTCTTGGGCATTCTGTAACCCGGAGACGGCTTTCTCCTGGCCCGCCCATACTACCAAGCTTTCATTCCGGACATCTCGCTAAGGCCCGGTGTCGAGGCTCTCACGGTATCGTTTGGCTCTGTAGATCCTATGAGCGTCGAGGCCGTCGCCAAATACGAAGACACCATTCTGGCGGCGGAAGAGCGGGGCATTCGAGCGAAAGCTCTCATGTTGTGCTCCCCGCATAACCCACTCGGGAGATGTTACTCTCGCGAAGCCCTTCTGGCCTACATGCGTCTGTGCGAGAAGTACCAGATTCACTTGGTCAGCGACGAGATATATGCCTTTTCCGCTTGGAAGAATCGTCACGATTCATACCCTCCACCCGTCGAGTTTACGTCTGTCCTGTCCATCGCACCAGAGGGCATTATTAATCCCCTCCTCGTCCACGTCCTGTGGGGTATGAGCAAAGGCTTTGGTGCCAACGGTCTCCGTGTTGGATATATTATCTCGCAATATAACGAAGCCTTCCGCGAGGCGCTGCTCGAGGTCGCAATCTATTCCTATGCGACATCAGTCGCAGAGCATATCGCTGCCAAAATTCTCGAGGACGATCCTTGGGTGGACAACTATATTCAGACCAATCAAACCCGGCTGGCGGAGTCGTACAGTCTTGTCGTTGAGTTTCTCAACAAGCATAATATCCCGTACACGCCAGGTGCCAATGCTGCATTTTTCCTCTGGGTAGATCTTGGAAAGGCATATTTGGAACGACACCCCGAACAGCGGCGAGATGCCGGTGAAGCGCAGGTTGATGATGGTACAAGTGTCAAGATCATGCAACTACTCATGAAGAACAAAGTGTTCCTAGGTGGTGGCGCTGTCTTCGGTGCAGAGACTCCGGGGCTCTTTCGCATTGTATTCAGTCATGCACGTTCGTACATAGAAGAGGCGCTAAAGAGAATTACTAAAGCGATGGGAGATATGGAGGTCGAATAAGGGCGGGGGGAAGATGGTACCAAAGAGTGTTGAAGTAGTCACACAGAATCTTACATCACGTTGCATCAGATCTCGAGCTCCGAATGCTTCTCGATACTCGAGTGCTTGCTTGTCCTCTGCCATCTCAAACCTATTTGACCTGATCTGCTTTCACACAAGTCTTACTTTGTCAAAGCTGAGTGTGCCCCGGTTCAACTTCCACGCCCCCAGCAACACAAACAGCAGCACATCAAAAAAGCTAAAAACTAGGCTCCCTCCAAACACAAAGGCATGGTAGGTCCAAGCATCCGAAGAGGTGAGATGTGCCGCTTGACAGACGATCGCCCAGGGCAGGACGTAAAACACATTCGACACCAGCGACTGGTACAGGTACCACCTCGGCACTGTCGATAACAGGATTGTTGCCAGCTCTGTGCTGAGCGCGTAGAAGATGTAGCACCAGTCGATGGTGCGCCACATGTGTGCTGTGATGGACGCCACACTGTCCGAGTCGGAGAGATAATATGCAAAAGGCTTGCACCCGAATAGAGATAGGAAGATGCAGAGCGGGACCTCGACTGCGAGTGCAATTGCTACTGCGGTAAGAGCGGGAGTGGCTATATCTGGAGGCGCACACACTGGGTCAGCCACAGTTTCAAGAGATGTGATGGAGCAGAATGCGCACTTCGAAGCTGCTTCCAGCTCGCCTTGGCTTTCTGGAGGTCGATGCCCACATCCTTCCTCCATTGACCCCATTTATGTCCAGTGAATACGTTCGAGGTTGCCTCCAGTGTCTGGATCGGAACCATAACAAGACCCCAACGAATGGTGTTAAAGGTGCCCCATGCGGTCGCATAGTCTGCACCCATGGAGACGATGTTGCTGACAAGCCAGAGGTAAAATGTGTTCCTCACCGCAGACTCGGCAAATGTCAAGGCCCCAGGTCTCACAAGCACTTTCAATGCCTTGAGACTTGGACGGGGCACCGGCAGGCGTTGGAGGTCACTGCTCTTCCTCCGAGGTCTGAATACGATGAAGGCAAAGTATGCGAGGCCGGTAAATGCGGCGGCAAAGTCACACCCGAGTCGAATTGTCGCTTGCATATTGACGGTGGGTTTGGATGACCCCACGTGAAAGCGGGAGATGATCAGCAAGTCCAAAACAATATTGATGGCAAAGCGTGTCGCGCTGATGAGAAACGGCACGTCGGGGTGGTCAAGCGCTCTGGCCGCGTTGGTTACCGCAACCTCCAACGCTGCACTAAATACGGAAAAAGAGCTGATGCGGACGTAGGTCAAGCTCGCCCTGCGAACTTCCTCTGGAACGAACCCAGCGGCAAACTGTTTGGCGGCCCCGAGAATGATGACGCTCACAACCAGACCCACGATACTCTGGAACAGAACCAGAGTTTGTGTCAGTTCAACGCGAGATGGGAGTGAGCGGGAGGATCTATCTCCAATGATGACCCATGCAGCCCTAGGAAGACCCTCATTAATGACCTCGGCCACAACGCCAATATAGGTGTATGAGTCGACCGTGACAACCATGGAAGAGTCAATGTTGGCCACCCATAACTTCGAAAGCGTGTTGTAGAGAGCTGGAAGCACGAAGCCCACAAAGTTGTAGGTGAGAGCGCCGCAAAACCTAGAAGTCCATAGCGTCAGCTTAAGAGGCCCCCGTGCGATTTCCCGAGGGTAAGGCTGGAGGAATCTACTGACCGATCGCGGCTCCATATGCTGTAATGTTGCTCAGTGTCATCGTCGGCATAACCGGGCGTGGGCTCGGTCACCTCAACAACATCCTTTGAGGATAGCATGGTGTATCTGTACGTGGTCCGCAAGAGCCTGCGAGCTATCCTTTGGAGCAACATGGCGGTTGATATCATTGCCTACGGAGAGAGAACGTTCCATCACATGCGCATCGTCCTTTGTTCCGAGGGGCGCGTGGAAAGGGAAAAGATCCAGACGCCAAGGTCGCACAGCAGCAAAGAACGCAGAGGGGTTTTGTGGCGACCAAATCAGAAGCGCGAGCGATGCGAGCTGCAGCAAGGCGCGCAAGGAATTGACCTGTCTCGTCTCATAATTGTGAGAAGAAGAGGATGTTATGCATCTGTGATGGTTCGTTCGTTAACATCGTGACATTCTCAAGATGGCAAAGTACAATCCGCTTCTATCTTGGCTTTGTACCAAAAACAAAGTGGCATTGCCTATATCGTCAAAAAGGAGGCCAGTTCCAGCAATGACTGTACAGATGCCGAGATGTTTATGCCGAGTAGTCCCTCCGTACCCAGTATATTGAATTCTTGAGGACGCGCCTCAAAACGGCCTTGATGCTGTTGTTTGTGCCAATTCGAATATGGCCTAGTGTACTTCGTAGAATTAGTGACAGCCTTGTCTTCAGCCTTGTCTTCAGCCTTGGCCAGTCTCACATTGCCTCAAAACGGGTGTTCAGACTGCTACGCACATGGTTGGCATTCGCTTTGGGCCATCAAATAGGAGATATGGTCGAGTCGGCCTCTTTACAGTGATGGATCTAAAGGGTGAGCCAAACGCAACCCCCTATTGCGCGTGCGATGGCTGATTTTTATGCACTGCCGTGTCAAAAGTCAAGAAATACTACGGGTTCACCAGAATTACAATGAGTCCAATATCAAGAACAACACCGGGCCACCGCGAACGGTCTCCTGGAGGTCAGGAAGCATCACTCGAAATGAACCTAAATCCGGGACAATTCACAGCATACCTCTAACAATCAATGTCACCTGAAGGGGCCACCATACTCACTTTCATTCCAACTTCAAGCCCTATCGATTCGGGTTCTATAGGGCGAGTTCCTCGCTCTCCTCGGCAAGACCATGCGCCAGTTAAGGGTCCACCGGTCTCCAAGGAGGTTTGGTCATGTTTCTTCGAGATTTCTGGATTCGACGATCCCAAGTCGGCATCTGTTCACTCCTTATGGGTGTGAACATATATACTAGGAGGATAGATTTGTATAAACCCGTTATATGCCACCTCTTCCCTGATTGCTGCTAATATTTATCCCTTATCCTCGCCCTCATGATTTATGTGAGAGATATGCGAATTTTGTGACGAGATGGATATAAGAAACCTATCCTTAAGTTTATTTGTAGCCAGTACTGTGATTTCAAGAAAGTTCGCCTTTCGTTCTCTGCTAGATTTAGTATATCACACTCTTACATATCAAGATTTGTGTTTTCTATTCGTCAATGGGTTGAGGAGGTGTTGCGGTTTATCCTAATCGGGGCGCCTCCTCATACCTTTAACGCCTTAAACCCATGGAACGTCAGGAGACTTTGACCATAGCTCTTCGCACTTGAGGGTGTCAAAATGGGTTACCCGTGAGATGGAGGAACGGAATTCGATTATCAATTCGGGATATCGTCTGACCCACCCGAGGTCGGTGTCAGCCCAACAAACTAGAAAATTCTGATGCCCCTCCTGATTCAGAGTACTGAAGCAGGTGCTGCTAAGGGACTGACTGACTGGAGGACTCGGGGCTGGAAGCTCTGTTCTCTGGCTGGCTGCCTTCATGAGCCAGCCTTGCCAGTCTCTGCTCTCAATCAACCCAGATTGTCTTCCAGAATCATATCCGCTGCTTTCTCCGCGATCATGTACACGCTACTCTGGATATTTCCGCTGACATGGTTTGGGAAAACGCTGGCGTCCACAACTCTCAGGCCCTCAACGCCCTTGAATCTCAACCTTGTGTCCACCACTTCTCCCATCGCGCAGCTTCCACAGAGATGATACTGCGCCGCCCAGACCCCCTTCGCATGCTCGCGCCGGTCCTCCTGCTTGTGCAAATCATACTGCTCTTCGCCAGGGTAGGTGCGTCGGGCGATCAGGTCCTTAAGTGGTGGTATGTCAACCAGCCTCTGAACAAACTCCAAAGCAGCAGATGCCGTGACAATATCGGCCGGGTGTCCCAGCATGTTTTGGTTTATTTCTGGCTGGGCGTATGGATCGCTGGATGTCGCATGCACCCACCCTTGTGAAAAAGTGTACTGCATGCCGACAGCAAATCCAAAACCGTGTGGCGCCCCTTCAGGAAGTGTCTTGACAAATACCTTTGATTGATCTGCAACAGCGCCTTCTGCATAGCAGTCCACAGTCACCGGAGTCGGCGACACGTGGACATATGCCGACTGTGCGCTTTTGACTTGCTTCAGGATGTGTTGTCGTTGGGCCTTCTGGAATGAGGACTTGCCCGGTTGTGACTCGACGCTTCGGCTGATCTCTTCCAAGTCTTTGTCGTTCAACAGCGGTAGGATAGGGACGAAGCCTTGAATGCTGTTAATGCTTGCTAGGGGTCCATCACCTTGCTTGCGATACTCGTCTAGAGCCGCACGCTGCACCTTTTCATCTTTCATCGCGTCCGCAGAGATGACCCCTCGCTTCAACTCATAGGAAACAATCATGGCAGGGTGGTCCTGCAAATTCTCGCCCACATACGGTGATTCAAGCTTGCACTCTATTCCAGCTTTCTCGAGCACTTCGCGATCTCCTATCCCCGAGAGCTGAAGGATGTGCGGAGACGACAGAGCACCGGCACAAAGAAGGACTTCTCGCCTGGGTTTGACAAGGTAATGCTTTCCCAAGTGATCAATCTCTACCCCCACAGCCCTGTTACCGTGTAGCTGGATCCTTGTCACATGTGCATTGCAAAGGACATGCAGGTTTGGCCGGTCAAGCACCGGTTCCAGGTACGACCTGGCGGCATAACTTCTCTTGCCTTTGTTCGGCCCAGAGCGATATATAGTGCCCAGACTGCGATAAAATCCCAGATGGTCTCCAGCCCAAGGGTCGATGAGCGGGGCATACAGCCCGCTGGCTTCGATGCCGGCGTGATAAATAGCTTCCTCGAGAGGCGTCACAGGCAGGGTGTTGAAGCTGGTATGGATAGGTCCTTCCAGGCCGTGCTTCTCTGCGACATAGGCGATTCCAGTGCGCTCAGTGAGGGCATCATCCAGCGGTTCGAGGGTCTGATGCCTCAACAGATACTTGTTCATGCTGGCGGCTCCCCAAGACGGATCTCCCACCAAGGACGCCCAGTCGTCTAAGTCCTGACGCGAAGGGCGTGTATAGACCATCCAGTTGATCGCACTTGATCCGCCCAGCATGCGACCGCGAGGCAAATGGCATTGAAGGCCTTGGGGTCCTTGGGGGCTAGTGATAAAGTGCCAATCATAGTCTTTATCGCCGGTCATCGCTGTCGCCATAGCCGGGGTATCGACCAGTGGGTCATTGAGATGACTTGCCCCTGCTTCCAGTACACCAATGGCGAAGCGCGCCTCGTTGCTGAGTCGGTTTGCAAGAACAAGGCCAGCGGTGCCGCCACCGATGATGAGGAAGTCGTACTCATTTCCCATGAATGCATGAGCATCATTGAACGAAGAATTTGCGTCGTCTCCAATTGTCGCGGACATCGTAGACGTGGATGGCAGCTACAACATCTAGACGGAGAGGAAAGACTTCAATGTACAGGGAAGTATGAGCATAAGCATAACCGTAGAATAGAATGCTGCATTTATCCCATGCAGGATATAGCCGATCAGGCCCTAAAGGTCTAAAGTTAAGCCCTGTATTAGGCGAATGGGCGTAGAAGTCCGCCTAATGAGAGTGAGACATAGAGCTTTGAATATCGCTAACTCTCTCTCCCAGCAGCCTGGCAGTCTATTTCATAGCATTCTTGGCCCATGTCTCAGCTAGCCACTGGCTGATGAACCGCTGGACTTCCTTGTTATTCTTCTCAATGGCCAAGAGATGGCCGTTGCCGCGGATGCCTCGATCCGCCAGATATACATGCTCGGCAGGCACGCCGACATCGTGGAAGAACTGGACCGTGAGGTGGTCGTACGTCGCGTGATATGATGCCTCAGCCGTCACCACAACAATGGGTATAGAAGACAGATTGACCAGTTTCAGCGCCGGCGCCTTCAACCGCGCCCCTGGTATCCGATCGTTTTCCAAGACCTCGCTGGAGTCTCGTATGAACTCTAGTCCTTTCGTGCCAGCCGGCAGGGGAGGCTCGTAGGTCAGTGGAGTCGCTGTGAGACCGAACGGTCGCACGAATGTCCCCGTTTGGACAGCCTGCGTCCTTGTGTAGAACTTAGGCAGACCTGGATAGATGAACGGCGGCCCATTCGGCTCCAAAGCCACAATGCCTTTGACCATGCTAGGACACTCGTCGGCGATATGCCAACCTATAGGACCTGATTGCGAATGTGTCACTAAAAAGGCCGGGCCGGTACGAGAGAAGAGGTCTTTGGCCAGAGGGCGGAAGGACCGCTCCACGTCTCGATATCTTGCAAAATGCCCGACTTGACTGGCATAGAAGGCGTCGAAGAAGGCATCCCCCATCTTGCCGGTGCCTGGCCATTGGGTGAGCAGTTTTGCCTGGGGGTATGAATCATGCGGAGGCGAGGTGAAACACTCTTGCAGCTCCTCTGCTGTATAGTGGCTGAGATCTCCCAAATCATGGGCGTGATATCGCGACCTCCCTATGCCAACCTGGTCGACGACAAAGCATTCCCAGCCTTCCTGAGCCTGCAGCAAGGCGATCCCAGGTCGACCATCCGGCGTGGATTCCCAGTGGGTGCCCGTCTGCGCCGCTCCGTGAATGTAGATGATTGCCGGTCGGTTATCGACTTTCTTGCCAAAGCGTCGCACGCAGACTTGTCCCGTCATATGTGTTCCCCGATCATCCTTGATATATTTCCCGCCGACGTAGAACACCTCGCAGAGGTCGGTAATCGTCTCATTCTTTTCCATTATGGCGGGCAGGTAGCGAAAATGGTAGTCAAGCTCTTTCTTGTGTGCCTAGTCCCAGTTGCCTCCTCTTTTTGACGGTCTCCTTTCCGAATTCCACAGGAAGGACGGACGGTCACTCGCCGGTCGGCAAACGCTTGCCGTCCCGCCGCTGCCGTGTCTCAATCCAAGTTTCGGGGATGACTCCCGGATGTGGTGATGGAGAGGTTAAGGGGGCGACAACGTGTATCGTTCGAAGGAGAACACCAACCCCAATGATTCGAGGTGAAGGGGAGGAGTGAGTGACCTGCGAGGCTGCTTGCCTGGCGCCCGACCGAAGTTCCTCCGCCCTCTGTATCGGATTTCTCATGTCTGCACCTTACCATTTACCAGATCATATTCCATGGCACCATAATGATCCTTCGTGTCCACGTATCGGTAAGATATTGCTGTTTCGAGAGGCTAATCCACTCTTATGCTCTATTCCCACCCCTTGTGGTATACCAAGCTTTTCAAATGCAACTCAACATGCTACCGGCAGGGTTCACACTCCAATGGGCGGGTTGAGCGCCATCCACGTGGAATGTAGATCATCATCCACGTCGAATTCACAACTTCCCATGAAGACTCTCAGTCTTAGCGATGAGGCGGGCAAAATAGGAAGCGGTCAAGGATAAGGTGCTGAAATCGAGGCGAGCAAGGGAGCAGCGAGTGAGGTACAAGAGACTTGTGACGTCCGCCTCTTTCCTGGGGACCTCGTATCTTCTAACTAACCAGATGGCAGGGACATTTCGGCCAGCATCTTCGTGATAATGAAGTCGTCCATTTTCCTCTCATCCGCCTTGTTCGCGTGGACACGCCATGCAAATGCTCAGTCTGCTCTCCGAGAACCCACCAACTTCACCTTGACAGGCCACATCACGCCCGACCAGATCTTCAGCTTCGTCTATGTGCCCTTCAACGTTTCCGCCGAGGTGACCTCAATCTACGTGCTGCAGAACTACTCGTTCAAGGGGGCGGGAAATTCACTTGACCTGGGCGTCTTCGATCCTCACGGGATTGCCGCCATCAACAGTGAGACTGGCTACTCCGGCTCGCGAGGCTGGTCAGGAGGGTTTCGGAACAACTTCACCATCTCTGCGAGTGACGCCACGCCGGGATATGTAAGTTCTGCAGACTATGGGAGGACGAAGAGAGGAAAGAGTCGTCTTCCTCCTTCCCGAGAACCGTGAGCCCCAAATCTAACGATGGCTGAATCAGAATGCTGGACCGCTTCTCCCCGGGACATGGAATATCGTGCTGGGGCCCTACGCAACCAACCGCTCAGGCATTGACTGGGCGCTTGACATCTCGCTCGGCTATTCCCCTAACAGCTCACCGCTCTGGACTCCCTCGCTAGCTCCCATCTACAAAGAACCCCTTCCCTCCACAACCCCTTGGGAATGGCTTCGCGGCGATTTTCACATGCACACCATCTACTCCGACGGCCGGTACCTACCAAACGAGCACATCGCTCACGCTATCTCGTACGATCTCGATTTCATCTTCTTCTCCGAACACAACACCGACTCTGGGAACAACAACATCGGCCACTGGATCCTGGCCAACGCGTCGAATCTTCTCATTGGCCGGGCAATTGAAGTTACCACGCGTCATGGTCACTGGCAAGCGATCGGACTCGAGGGGTCTCAGCAGGTCGAGTGGAGGTATACCAACTCGTCCAATGACATGGGCTTCGTCGACGCGGCCACCCAAGTGCACGGTTCGGGAGGGCTGGTGTCAATCAACCACCCGTTCCAGAATTGCTCGAGGTGCGATTGGACACTGGATTGGGACCACAATGACGCGATAGAAGTTTGGAACGGTAGGTTTGACCCGCTAGACGAAGTCGCAGTCAAGTTCTGGCAGAGCGAGCTTGCCCAGGGGAAGAAGCTCACAGCGTTGGGCGGGAGTGATGCGCACAGTTCGCCGGACATCAACGGCTTGCCCACCACTGTTGTAAGGGCCACGGGAGAGAAGAGCCAGGCGAGCATCGTCGAGGGCGTGAAGAGGGGCCGTGTGTATTTAGTCGAGGGTCCTGGGATGGACATCGCCTTTGGAGTAGTTTACGGAGATGGTGCTGGAAAGAAGAAGGCAGAGATCGGAGACATCGTCCCAAAGGCGGCCTTAGACGCTGGCGATGCATATGCCAGCTTCTCTGCCACCGGGTTCGAGGGCGCGCATGCTTGCTTCGTGTCTGAGAAGGGGTATTTTCACAACGTGTCGATCGTGAATGCACAACGTATCCTGCAGAACGTGGCTGGAATGGACTTTGTCATGGTCGAGGTCCGCAACACCTCCGATGTATTGCTCGGCCTGACTAACCCGATCTATTTCGAGTGAGTAATTGATGGTTGCGAAGCATTCCTAGGTAGAGAAGCGAATAAGTTGACGCAAGACAAGGGAGACTCGATTCACGTGATCCCTCAATAGATATCCGTTGGTGAGAATCGATATGCGAGGAATGTGGCCGTGATAAAAATATCTTGCCACCACTGCAGTTCGTCCGGGTCGATCTATGTAATCCGCTGGTCAAGGTTTCAACGCGGAGTCCCCAGAAAATTCTTGTATTCGTTTCGCAGAAAATCCTATCTGTCATAATCCTAGGCAGTGCCTTTTCCCACCAGTTTGTGTATGGGCCTTGCTGTTTTTGCAGATACATTTCCGTTGTAGGTATTGGTAGCCTCAGCCCTTTACTTGGAGGGAATGCCCTCGGCGGCCTGGGCCACTTCGTCTGCAATCTTCTCCTTCTCCTTGTCTCCCAGCTCCTCTCTGCCCTCCTCGAAAACTTTGTCGAAGTCATACTCGCCCCATCTGATGTTGGGGTTCAAGCCTGCAAACTTCCATTCGCCGTCGACCTTCTTGTACCAGTGCATATTGCTGCTGTGTGCATGTCCCTTGACGAGGACTTTGGTGCGGGTGGCATCCGTGTACTTTTGATGCGGAACACGGAGCTGATGGTACCCGATGATCTCGGTGTCAGAGACCTTCTCCCACTTGCTGGCGCCGCAGAAATGCTGGGTCATAAGACGCGGGTCGCCGAGCACTTTGGGGTCGGAGATCATGGCGATAAAGTCGTCAGCCGGCATGGCTTCCCAGAGTTTGTTCAGGAAGGAGCGGTAGTCGATGCGGACGGTGGGGGCGACGATTTTACGCAAGCGGGCCCAGTCCTGGAGTTCGGATGGCCGTAAGTGAGATGGGGTCGCTGTGAAATATTGAGGTCTGTCTAGAGGAGCTCACCTTGGAATCGTAGCTCTCGGCCCACTCCCAGTAGGCATTGAGGCAGCCTTGGTAGTCTGTTATGCTCGCGCAGAGACGATTGTTAGCCTTGACAACACAAGATGAGCATCAATTGGGAGAGTTTCGACTGAAGGAACCGCAACGAGTTTCGCTCACCTTCCCAAGAAATCAACTTGTCCTTTGACGCCATGTTGAAAAGCAGCAAAATTAACTGAACAACAACGTCAAGGAAGAGTGTCGCGTGCAGGTGGAAACGAAGAGGAATGAAAGGGGAGTGAGGGTAGAGATAGGAGGGGAAATTGGGAGGAGGAGGAGTAGGAGGAGGGAAGAGGGACGATTTCTTTCTTTTGTCCGTCTCTAAATAATCGCACACCGCCCCTTTGGTGCCTTCTCTCATGCTCGTGTTTCTCTTGGCTATTTATTTCCACTTCCACATGTGCATCAAGCCTCTCTGAACCTAGCGTTCTGGTGTGTGCGACTCGCCGGCCTATCTGGGCCAGCCATGACCAGCTGTTCCTGAGCAACACATGCAAGGCGCGGGCGCTAAGGCGGGCACGTAGCGGGGCATCACGGCGGCATGGCGTTGGGGATTAGGGGCCTGATAGGGAAGTGAGGGGGTTGTGTTAGAGGGTGTTAGGGTCTTAGTTCGCGGGGTCCGAGCCCTAGTAGTTGCTAGCATACTAACTTCTCCCTAATATCCCGTACTGTACAAGGACCCTGTAGCCCGTCACCTAATATCGGAGCGGAGTGCCATTTTTGGGACCAACTGACTACCGCTGTGCTCCTACCCCCCTTCCCGCCTCCCTTTCTGCACTGGCAGACCGCGAGGCTGAAAGAGCCACCACAGCCCAACTACGAAATACTCCTGCCCTGTTGTCCGAATCCGACGTTCAGCCAACGCATCTCACCTTCATCCCAACCCGCACAGTCTTTGTGACGCCCCGAATATTAATCATGGATGGCTTCAGAAATCGGCAAGCCAGGCCCGTCTTCGCGCTCCGGAGCATCCCACCACATCTGAAATGACCCTTCTTCAGTGGAAGTCGCCACAGGTTCATCGCAACCCGCTGGTAATTGCCAAAGAATTTGTGCCCACGAATATCGTCTTTGCTGCTTCGGACGAGACCATGACCTAACGTGACACAGATTTGACCTCCGACTTCGACCGCGTGGCCGTCTGAATGGTGAAACGGCGCCAGGAGTACAGAGTAGACGCTCCCCTTGAACGGCATGCTGCTTTCAGCGACATCGTTCGGAAAGCGCCATTGTCCATCGTACTTGATCGGATGCCATGGCGTGACTAGCAAATCGCCCACTCGGCACAGCTTCTGCGTTTGGCCGCCAACTCTGGTCTTCAAAACCGCACGGACTGCTCGTGGACCCACAGGTGTCCATACCATCGTCCCTGCCTTGAGACTCTTGACCGGCATCTTAGTCGTTCCGTCGCCCATCAAAATCAAGCAATTGCCTTTGAAGCAAGGCGTCGCGCTGGTATTGTAGCGTCTCATACTGATATTTCGGTGCGCAATGGTTCTTGTACCCGTCACTTCGCCAGTGGGACTGTATGTGTACACAACTCTCGGCGGACGAGATGGCTTCGGTGCCGGGAGGTTGTCAAAAGCGGCATCCAGCTCGTTGCGGTATTTGATGAAGAGCGGGCTGTCTCTGCTGTAGAGCAATGGCCCGGGATCTTTGAATGTATTGCATATTTGACGCTCATGCGCATGGAGCAGGCTGGGCAGGTAATGACGACCCCATTTTTGCCAATAGGTTTGGGTTGTAGTCCAAGTAAGGGCTTTGGAGATTTGACCTGCTGGTTCGTCACCCATGATCTCATCGAGGAGCGATTTGAGCCCGACTGCATCTTTGTTGGGAGATTGATACATGGAGCTGGCGATGGCGTTCAGATTTGCCCGTGCTTCGATCAACGAATTTCTGTCCATGGTGGTCGTACGCTCACCATTATTCTTCAAAGGGAAGAGAGAGGATATGAATCCGCAGATTTGAGCTCTGCGCATGTGGTACTCGACCCAGATTTGAGGCATCACCGTCTTGTCCGAAAAGACTGCACGGCTCTGGAAGCCCTGGGAAGCCCCGCTGGCGGCATTGTAGCTCAGCGTTGCAGTCATGACTGTGTCTTCAGGAATACCCTTTGGACACACGAACACCAGTTCCCGAGACTGCCCGTATTGGATGTTGCCCAGATGTAGAAGATATCCTCCATTTTCGGCGGTCAGAGTCATTCTTGATGTCGTTTCTACCACAATGTCTCTTGATAGTTTGATTTCTAATGTGGTAGACGTGCCGAATGTTGTGTAAAGATTGGCAATCGAATGCACGAATGCAGTTCCAATCATACCTGCGTCAGGGATGAATGCGTAATTTCCCCCACCCACCTCTGCGATCGATTGCATCAATTCGGAGCGGATCTGGTAGCCGAATCCAAAAGTATGAATGGTAGGGATGATGGGCCTCTCGCGGGCTGCGGACTCTAGTATAGGATTAAGTTTAGCGACATAGCTGTATTAATCAGGAGTTAGCGATCGATCTAAGGTTGTCTTTTTGTCGTGGATGTGGCTTTTACCCTTGCTTCGGACACATATGATTTGGCATTCCATCAGTTAGAACGTAGAGGCCTTGTATGTTATTCGCAAGTGGCGATTTGGAGAACAACTCCAGCCCAGTACGGATGCCGGCCCAAAGGTTTGTGCAGGCTTCATCGCGGAGGTTCTCAATCCTGCTCCATGTCGCCTGCTTTTCCGCGGGCTTCATGAATGTGAGTTCTTGCACGACCTATAGGTCTGCCTGTTAATATTGCGCGTATGGAGCGATCATCATTGGGACATTTCACCTTTGCATCATCCGAAAACGTCACAATACCCAGTCTATCACTATCACCCAGGGTCTGAAGGATCGTTCTTGCAGCGTGTTTCACGAGGTCGAGAACACTCAGTCCAGCTGCCTCCCTCTCATTATCGTCCTCTGCATCTGGAAGGGGTGCCGCAGATGACATGCTTCCAGACACATCGATAACAAGCACGATATCACAGGTTCCGCGCTGGAGACCATGTTCTGGGACCTGTGGAGGTTGAACCGACACAATGAAGGCATCACTATCGCTCAGGGGATGGATTTCGGTAACGGCATGGTCTCTAACATGCATTGATCGAGAACGCAGCGACAGGACGCGGGGATGGTCCACCATGGTAAAGTCTTCTGAGGCAGAACTGTCGGGTCTCGAGCTACTTATGGTATCGATAGACGGTTGAGGAGTTGGGAGTGGCAGGGACGCGGAAGACATATTTAAAGATCAATACAAATGCGGATTGTTTTTGGCAATAATGTTTGCTCTGATGTTTGTTCTTGTGTCAGTCAACTTTGGGCTGTATATCGCTGCTCTTGACGCCGCTTACCTTGTCTGGCCAGTACTCTCTTTGTTCGTTTGTTGGAGTCAAGCGTCAAGCTGTGGTCGGGCTCAACCAGATGTAGTTTTCCGCACTTTCCTAGTATGCGACTGTAGGAGTCGACCCTTCTCACTGTCAAATGATTCTGAAAGATTGTATGCCGGAACATGCTCGTGATCATGGAGGCAATATCACCCCCTTCAAATAGTCTGGCCGACGAGGCGGCGAAGTTCTCGTGCTGCTCAGGCTGCCTTCTGAGGCTTCTTTGTGGATATTTACAAGTCTTCTCCGGTGCACACCATTGTCGTTCTTTGTGGAGCCGGGGTCCATTACAGCTGAGAGACTTGCGGTAGCAGGACTCATGGCAATTTGGTAGACCGTGTTAGCGCTAAGAGGCTGTGACGGCTAGTGACCTGCACAGGAGTTTTGCAAAAGCATAAACTCCATCAAGCAGCACAGCAACATGACAGATTTGAGCAGGGGCCGTGGATGATAGGTGCGACATATTGAGCTCTAAGTGGTCATACAACTTGTAAGTGAGGATGCCTGTATGAATCGAGTCACAGACCAATAGAGTGTAAGGCGGAACTCGTACATGGATTTCCTGTGCTCGGTATCCTGTTGAGGCTCACTCGATTGTCCTTTTGAGCACCTTGGGGGGCCACACTGGTTGAAGGCGAGAGATTTTGCCTGCTGTGTGCCTGCCGAGGCTGAGACAAGCGAACCTTTGGTTTGGTGGGGTAGCAACACTTTGTAGGTGGCGCACGTGAAGGCGGTGCAGCGACCCAGCGACCCAGCGACCCAGCGACCCAGCGACGCCGTGGCAAGGAGAGCTAGGCCGGCACCACAGGGACATTTGTTGCGATGGCATTGACTTGGAAAGGTCCAAAAGGCTAAATGAAAGAGGACTTTGGGTCTGGCACTTTGTCGCACAAAGTTCGATACAAACTTGAAAAGACCACCACGTCGCTGCTAACTAGACACCTGCAACACCAAAACACGTACCCTCAGTGTATGTTGCCGGGCTTTGCTACAGACCTTGGAGCTTACCTGATCATAGCATATCAACCCATGTTGGTGCCATACAAATTGTCTTCCTCTTCCTCCCAACTCGAGAATGAGTTCCGTAGGTGGTGATACTACGGAGACTTTGCCGCTTGTCTTGCTGATTCATCCTTTTTTCTTCGTCCTTCGTGGTACAGTCTGGGCTCTCCTTGGGTTGCCGACGTCTTCCCTTGAATTGACTCAATCGCATCGCTTGACGGCGTATAGAAATGCGGCTTGCGCGGCCGCACATGCACTTAGTCAGCGAGCCATGATCAAAATGGTGGACTGCCCGAAGCTCTATGTTAAGAGCCCGAGCTTGGCTCTGTAGAGAGTCGTCTTGTTGAACTGATAAACTCCGTAGTTCGGTCCAAATGAATTATTACCGGACTGTCTTAACCCTTTTTGACAGGGGTTCTATGTGTCCTTGTTGGTCTGTTTGTGGCCAAGAAAAAGCGAGATTTGTAAAACGAAGCGACCTCGATCATGGGAAGTTTCTTTGGGCCAACAGTGTCGATTAACCTTCGCCAGCACGGAAATGGACTTGATGCAATGCTACCCAAGACCAGAAGAGTGCAGAGGTAGCAACCGACAGATCACCTCATTGGCATTTACGGCCTATAAAAGACCCCGGTTAGTCCTGAGGAGTTTATGACATGAATCTGTCAATCGAAACAACCTATACCGGCCACCTACCTTGTGCATCAAGCAAAGGTTTCCCTTGTCTTACCAGTCTATTGAA